CGTCGTCGTCGTCGCCGTCGTCCCCGCCGTCGTCGTCGTCGTCCGTCGCCGTCGTCGCCGCCACCGCCGCCACCGCCGCCGCCGCCGTCGTCGTCGTCGTCGTCGTCGTCGTCGTCGTCGTCGTCGTCGTCGTCGTCGTCGTCGTCGTCGTCGTCGTCGTCGTCGTCGTCGTCGTCCGTCGTCGTCGTCGTCGTCGTCGTCGTCGTCGTCGTCGTCGTCGTCGTCGTCGTCGTCGTCGTCGTCGTCGTCGTCGTCGTCGTCGCGTCGCCCGCCGCCGCCGCCCGCCGCCGCCGCCGCCGTCGTCGTCGCCGTCGTCGTCGTCGCCGCGGTCGTCGTCCGTCGTCGTCGTCGCCGCCGCCGTCGCCGTCGTCGCCGCCGTCGTCGTCGTCGTCGTCGTCGTCGTCGTCGTCGTCGTCACCGTCGTCGTCGACGTCCCCGCCGCCGTCGTCGTCGTCGTCGTCGTCGTCCCCCCCGCCGCCGCCGCGGCCGCCGCCGACGCCGCCACCGTCGTCGTCGTCGTCGTCGTCGTCGTCGTCGTCGTCGTCGTGGTCGTCGTCGTCATCGTCGTCGTCGGCATCGTCGACGTCGTCGTCGTCGTCGTCATCGTCGTCGTCGTCGTCGTCCCGGCCGCCGCCACCGCCGCCGCCGCCGTCGTCGTCGTCGTCGCCGCCGTCGTCGTCGTCCCCGCCGCCGCCACCGCCGCCGCCGCCGCCGTCGTCGTCGTCGTCGCCGTCGTCGCCGCCGTCGCCGTCTTCCGTCGCTGGCGTCGCCAACCGCCGCCAGCCCGCCTCCGGCGGCGCCGCCACCCTTCCCGCCCTCTGCGGCGTGGTCTCCGCCGTGTGCCGGCGGCGCTGCCGTGTCCTCTTGGCGCAGCCGGGCGCGCGCGGGTGTGGATCGCTTGACCCCCCCTGGGCAGAGACGACGAGGACGACGACGGCGGGGACGACGACGACGACGAGCACGACGGCGACGACAACGAAGACGACGAGGACGACGACGCCGAAGAGGACGACGAGGACGACGGAGGGTTTTCCGTTATGATTGGGCTCCAGGGGCCCTTACCGGGCCTCGGGACCGTCAAATAACGACTCAGTATGTCAAGCTGGTCCCGGGGGGAGTGGGCCGGGAACATCGGGGGGGCGACGTTATGAAAAAACAGTACGTCAGGGGTCTGGGGGTCGTCGTCGACGATGTCGACTTCGACTTCGGCGTCGACGTCGACGTCGTGGTCGTCGTCGTCCCGCACAATGTGGCGCGCACAGTTGCTACGGCCGCTGCTCGACCATATTCTCACCAATCCCACTTGCTGCGCCGGGTTATGCATAGCACCTACATGCAAATCCCAACTGTCGAAGGCTATTCAGAAGCATTCCAAGACTCCGCGGGTGCCAACTGTCATTCTACCGGCCCCTTCACCCACCCACCCCGTGACACCCGCTATCCCGGGGGAATTTGAAGACAAGCTCTTCCAAGCCTGGGTCCACGTGCGGGGGAGGAGGGGGGGGAATTGTCGGCCCACGCGATCCCCTACAGTACGTGTTCGGCAGCAGACTCGGGCCGCAGACGGCCGTTCGGGGCGATGCCGGCATCCCCGCTGACGCCCCCGTCGGGGCGCAGCTCATAGAAATCAGCCCTGGCTATGGAAACCTCCGAAGGAATCTCCGAGACTTCCCGCTGACCTCCGAAACGGGCTCCGTGCAGGCGAAGGAAGGGAAGGAGCTTAACTCAACCTACCGGGGCCCTCCATTCCAAAAAACAATTCCCCCCTCGCCCGTCCTCGGCGGGGTCGCCTGGCTCCGGAGTGTAGCTGTACTCCGTGTAGGAGTCGCAGTCGGCTCCTGGAGATGGAGGCGGTCGGCAGGTGGGGCGCAGAGCTGTGGTGCTCCCTTCCCCAAACAGCAAGGGGAGGAGGGAGAGGAGGAGGAGGAGGACGAGGAGGAGGAGGAGGAGGACGAGGAGGGGGAGAAAGAGAGGAGGAGGAGGCGGAGGGGGACGAGGAGGAGGAGGAGGAGGAGGAGGAGCAGCAGGGGAAGACGGGGGAGGAGGAGGAGGAGGAGGAGGAGGAGGAGGAGGAGGAGGAGGAGGAGGAGGAGGAGGAGGAGGAGGGGGGGGGAGGAGCTCCACCTACCAGAGACAAGGTTCGCATATAAAGTTTCAGAACGTCGCCCCGCTCACTTCGGCACACCTCTCAAACGGATCGTGGCCCGCAAAGGGTTCCACGGACGGCCCTGGACACAAAATTCGCATCCAGCCCTCCCGTCTACTTCGGCACACCGCTCAAACGGATCGTGGCCCGCCAAGGGTTCCACGGACGGCCTCAAAAGGCAAAGTTCGCACTGTGCACCCACTGGCCATTGCGGCACACCCCATCACGCGGATCGTGCCCACAAGGAGCGCCACCTCAAGGCCCGAAGACAAGATTTGCACAACGCCCCCCCGCCCATGTCGGCAGACCCGTCACGCGAACCATGCCCCAGAAGAAGCTTCACTTCTGTTACTAATGAGCAATTTCGCCTGGCGTACTCCCGCCCATTTCGCGCACGGGTCGTGCCTGGAGGTGGTTCACCTGTGCGCTTAGCGGGGGCGTTCGCGCGAGGGTATCCAAAGTACTCGGCACACCCTTCACGCGGATCGTGCCCTGCAAAGAATTCAGGAACTCAGCACACCCGTGCACGCGTGCTCCGCACCAGCCATCGTCCCACATTGCCCCGCGGCGCACAGTGCATGAAGAGAGACCCGCGCCCAGCGCCACACATGCCTGCATAGGGATGGGTCCGTCGCCAAACCAATCACTTGTTTATTTATGGCCTTCGGTCCATATGGTTACTGCGCCTGAGTCCTGGGCCAGAGGATCCTTGGATACCTAGAATTCGGGATCTCTTGGCGTGCGGCGTGCGGCGTGTTTCTCGGGCGCCTCGTGGAGCGAGTCTTGAAGCTTCTTGTGGCCTCAAGAGGGTCATGGGGGGGGCCTTTTGGAGTACCTTTCGTGGCCCCAGGGGGCCTGTCGGGTGCTTGCTGCGGCCTCGGGGACCCACTCGTGGCGGAGTGCTCGGAATGTCAGAGGCCCCCAAGACCCTCTCCAAACGGCCCAAGAGACCTCCAAGAGGGCCCCAAGACGGCGTAAGAGCGCCCCAAGACGGCCCAAAAGGCTCCCAAGACGGCCCAAGAGGATCCCAAAACGGCCCAAGAGGAGGCCCAAGAGAGGAAGCACGAACCGAAAATCCAAACTTTCCGCCCCAAGAGCCCACAGGAGGCCCCAGGAGGCCCGAGAGACTTCACCGGGAGGCCTCCCACGAGATCCCAACGAACATCCAGTAGGCTGCATACCCACAACCCAGGCACGGTGGCGGGATGGGCCGAATGCCATTCGATCCGCCGCCCCCTTTTGATTTATCAAAGGGGTGCCTGGCGTGCCGAACGATATCGCTTTTGGTTTTGGTTCTTGTTCCAAAAGAACTCCCCCTGGGGCTTCGTCACGTCCCGCCGGCCACCCGGAAGAGGTGGTTGCAAACGGTTGTCCTGCCCCAAACGGCCCCAAGATGGCCTCCAAGACGGCCAAGATGCCTCCAAGACGGCCAAGATGGCCTCCAAGACGGCTCAGATGGCCCCAAGATGCTTCCAAGACGGCCCAAGATGTACCCAAGACGGCCTAAGATAGCCTGAAGATGGCCCAAGACGGCCCAAGAGGCTCCCAAGAGGCCTCCAAGACGGCCCAAGAGGCCTCCAAGAGGTCCTCCAGAAGGCCCGAAGAGGCAAAATCATTGATTTTCCCTAGGTGTTTGAAGGATTTTGGCATTTGCGTTGTTTCGGCTTTCCGACGGCCCAAGACGGCCCAAGAGACCCACAAGATTGCCCCAAGATCGCCCAAGAGGCCTCCAAGATGGCCCCGTGACGGCCCTAGAGGCCCCCAAGACGGCCCCAAGAGCGCCCCAAGACGGCCCAGGAGGCCTCCAAGACGCCCAAGATGGCCTCTAAGACGCCTCGAACACGGCCAAGATGGCTTCCAAGACGGCTACGATAGCCCCAAGATGCCTCCAAGACGGCCCAAAATGCACCCAAGACGGACTTAGATGGGCCCAAAAGGCCCCCAAGAGGCCTCAAAGATGGCCCAAGAGGCCTCCAAGAGGTCCTCCAGGAAGGCCCGACAAGGTCAAAATCATTGATTCTCTTTCGGTGTTTGAATGATTTTGACATTTGCGCCTTTTCGGCTTTCGGACGGCCCAAGACAGCCCAAGAGGCCCCCAAGGTCGCCCGAAGATCGCCCAAGAGGTCTCCAAGATCGATCTCCGCACAACACGCGATCCCCGTGAGGCAACCCCCTCCCGCGATTGCCCCCTCTGCGCGCGCCATCCCCCTGCCAAGGTTTCTTCGGTGCGCGCTACCCCCACGGTGGGAGGTGCTTTTATTTCTAAAATATGTTCTAATTCATTTTTTTCGATCGAGAAAGTTACGTGTCTGAATATGTAAAGTAATAGTTATGTTTAAAATGTTGTACCTAATATTCTATGTGTATTTTGTTCAGCCGGCGGCGCCACGTCGCACGGTACTTCGCCAGCGCCAAGCGCAACGCGGCCCCTGACAGAGCGCTGTTCGCCAGCGCCCTCGGCGGTTGGAGGCGGCTGGGGGGCCTGAGCTGGCTGGCTGGGCACCACGAGAATCGGCGAGTAAGTAGGTGGGGATCAGGCCAAAGCCGTTCGAAATCTGTCCCCAAGCCCTTCCCTGGGCCCATCCTGGGCAATGGTTTACGCCAGATCCGCTTCTGACAGCCCAAGGGGCCCGAAAATTCGCCACGGAGGCCGCAGAGGGCAAAACCCTCTCCCGATTCCAGAACCTCGAACCTGCCCGCCCTTTTGATGCTGGCCGGAACCAGTGCTGGGCACCTCAGACCCCCACCCGGCTCCAAGGAGGCTTCCCGGATCTACTGACCCGGGTCAATCCACGCCCGGGTCGGCCGGGCCCTGCGGGATCCTGCAAGCTCCTGCAGGACCCTTTCAGGATCATGCGCGCAAGCCCGGGTCAGTGCAGACCTGGCCCTGCAGGATCCTGCAGAGTCTGGCGCCCTGACGGGCCCCGTTTGCATCGACCCCAGCCCCTTGTCGGGAGCGGCCAAGAGGGGGGTGTCCAAGAGGGGGGGTTGCAAATCATGACCGGCGGCATGTGCGCGGCCCAGCGGGGGGGCCAGGGACGTAATGAAATAAGAAGAGGCGCCATGAAATCTGGGGAAATTTCATGACCCCCGCCTTGAGATTCACCCCCCCCTAGTCATCACCCCCCTCTTTTCCGCCCCCGCCCTTGACCCCCGACCCCGCGCGGGCGGAGCACCCCCGCGGGTACGCGGTCCTGCCACGGCCTCGGCGGCCACCTCGGCCTGTCCTGCCAAGGGCGCGGGGGGGGGTCGGAGCGGCCCCGGGCAGGGGGGGGATCGGATCGATTCGGCAGGCGGACGACCCAGACATACTCGCGCCGTAAAAAAATCAGGACGGAAGGTTTTTGGCCAAGTTCGGCCTTAGGGGGGCCCTCGCCAGGCCCCGGGAACGCGTAGGATGGAAAACCGGTGCCGGGGAATGGGTCGGGACTTCCAGGGACGCCGTCATGAAAAAATCCGGAGGACGCATGTGTGGGGAGTCAAGCTCGGGCGCCGTCTAGGATCCCTCTTCATTGCGAGAGGGGCCGCAAGGAGGAAACCTAGAGCTTGAAACCAATTGCGCGGCAAGACTTGCATCCAGCCCCCTGCCCAAAAGGGGGGTAGGGCGGGAAGGAGGAGGCAAGGGGGGAGGAGGGGCGGTGTTGGTGCGAGAATCCGACCAGGTTCCCGGAGGACCTTCCGGGAACCTGAGCTGGGGTGGGGGGGGCGGGCCCAATCAGACAAGACACAACAAGCTCCTCCTTTTTTTCTCGGCGCACCCCGAGCGCCCCCGAAGCAGGCTATAGGGCCCAAGCGGCACTGGAGCGAGGCACTAGCGCGGCAGAGGGGTGTACGGCAACACTACCCCAAACTTCAACGTTGCCTCGATCCCGATGAAACAAAAGAGAACGAAAAACCTCAAATGAGAGACCAGGCGTGGTCTAACTGGGGCAGAGGCAGGCGGTAGCCGGCAGCCTCTGACTGCGGCGCCTCCCCGTCTGCGACGGAACTCCCGAGGGACATCTGGGCATCCTCCTCGCAGTAGTCCTCCGCGGCATGCTGCTGCTCCCCGTCTTCGGTCGCGAGGTGCGGAGCGCCCTTGACGAGGCGGTCCCAATTGTCGGTCGCGCTTTTCTCGGCGGCGGACAAGCCTCCCTTTTGTAAACCTCCCCTTAGCGAAAACGGCCTAAGACCGAAACCGACGGACCTGGACCCGCAAAAATGATGGCCGCGACGCCCATTCGCGAACCGAAGACGGCCAATTCCTCAATCGACGTGTCAGGGTAATTAGGAGGCCTGACACCAAGCGCCGTCGCCAACCGAACTGCTGGACCCTTCCGCTCAAGACCCCTCTTGCTGAAGTGGCCGACATGCTTCCAAGACCAGCACCTCACGCGAGACGAGCTGGCCACGACGCTTCCGCTCCTCGGCCACCTGGAGCCTGGTCTCCTTCCACGTCGCCAGGTGGCCTCGTCCTCCCCCATGGGTTCCTGGCGGTTGCCGTCGTCGTTGGTCCACGCGTAATCGTCATCGACCATGTGGACGCCGTGCACGGGCAGCACCTTCGGGCACGCGGTCTTCAGCGCCATGGCGAGCGCGCCCACGGCCCACTGCCGCTCGCTGGCCGCCAAGACGACCGCGCGTGGGCCCCCACCGAGACGAGACCTCGGAGCAGGAGAAGACGCTGGCGGCATCCGGCAGCTCGGCGCCCCCCCGCTGGGCCTGCATGAAAATGGTGCGCACCCTGCCGGCGCAGGCGCTCGGCAACTCGCCCTTCTCCGTCTTCGGAGCGTCGCCGACTCCGTCGGCAACCTCGCGCACGGGGTACCTGCCGCGCAAGACATCGAAGAACCTCTCCTCCCCGCCGTCCACGGCTAGCTCCTCGAGCTCCACGTGCTCCGTTGCGTCGACCCCCGTACACTCCCGAAGATTGGAGGACATGGTTCCGAACGTCGACGCTTTCTCGACGAGCACCCGTGTTCGCGCCCACTTCTTCCGATGGCTCAAGTCTGCGTTAACGCGAGGAGCTCGGGCTGGGGGCCCTCCTGGCCCTATCTAATTCCCGGAGGCCCTTGTGGAAACCTGAGACGCCAGGGATTTACCAGCCCGGGTCAATCGTCAATCAGGCTCTGCAGGATCCTGCAAGGTACGGCAACATCCTGCAGGATGTTGCGCCCAAGCCCGGATCAAAGCAACCCGATCTCTGCAAAGTCCTCCATGATCCGGCGCTCTGACTGACCCCCATTCGCATCGACCCCCATCTTTTGAGCCCCGAAACTGTGGAGTGCCCTCCGGGCCCAATGAGACCAGACGGAATCCGCTGTTTTCCCACGGCGCACCCCGAGCGCTCCTGAAAGAGGACGGCAAAGGACGCCAGGCGGAGGAGGGACGAACATTTTTTGAGCACGACGGCCACGCTGCATGACGAAAGCGCGCTGAAAATGAGCGATAGCAAAGCGGCTCCCCTCTCTTCGGGGTGGAGTCCCTTGCAGATCCTGTTCCACGAGACTTGGTTCTGCTTGTCTGTGCCTGTCTGCAAGCTTCGCGCGGCCCGCTTAGCTTCGACCGGAGGAGGTGCGCTCTCGACCCGCGAATCAAAAAAAGTCTGTGCCTGTCCTGGGGCCGAGAAGGGACGAAGCGCAGGGAGGGAGGGGGGAAAACACGGAGGGGGGGGCGCGGAGCATCCATCATCTTCGCTGCGGGAGAGGCGTCGCCCCCGGAGGGCGAGCGCTCCGGGGTCCGGCAGAATTCCGTCGAGGGCCCCGTGTGGACAAGGAGCGCACCCCGATGCCACCAGCTATACGAGGGCGGCGGCGAGGTGGGATCAGAAAGTTCGGGGAAGTGCGGCAGAAGAGGTCACAGGGACGGGGGGGGGGGTATGGGGAGGAGGGAGAAGGAGGAGGAGGAGGAGGAGGAGGAGGATGAAGCAGAATAACAAAAAACAGACAACGCACCAGCAAACACACAAACAAACCAAAAAGAGGTCCTGGCCGAGTGGGGGGCCCAAACAGACACACATCACACACAGCACTTCCTTGCTTCGAAGCGGACCGGCAAAGGAACACAACAGAAACACTGCCCCGAACACAGCCGATAACATACCCCAAGCCAGCCAAAACAGCAAAAGAACCCCCAAGACAGTCAAACTCGCCCCAAAAACTGTCGAACGGCCTCTAAGGCGTTCCCAGGTCTGCCCAAGACGGCCTGCGGGCACTTCAAGGGGGCCCCAAGATGGCCCAAGATGGCATCAAGAAGGCCCAACAGACCTCCGAGACCCAAGACGGCCCAAGAGGCTTCCAACAAGACGCCCGGGAGACCATCGAGAGCAGCAAATCCTAATTGCCCTTGAAGTTTTCATTGATTTGATCACACTGGCCCTATCTGGCCGCTGAAAAAACCAAAGATAGCCTGAACGGTCCCCGAGATAGCTGTAAGACAGCCCGACCAGACCCCAAGAGGCCCCCAAGACGGCCCCGCGGCCTCCAGGACGGCCCAAGAAGCCCTCAGGACGGCCGAGGACTCTTCCTGGGCCGCCTCCGGCTGGGATGGCCCACTGCGCCCGCGCTGACCTTTGGGCAACACGTTCGGCGCGGCCGGACCGGGGAGTTCGAGGGGGCGATTGATTGAGCAGGGACCGACCGTCCCGGCAGTCCTATAGGCCTACCACGACATGTTCTTAGAACCCCAAAAACCAAAACAATGTTCTTAGAACATACACCAGACGTGTTCAAACAAGACACTCCTAGCCAGAAATGCTCTAAGAACGTCTCGTGGAAACCACAAAAGGTTCTTAACATTATTTGGTGGCCCTATAGGCGAACCAAGACGCTTCGCCACTGCTTGGAATGACTGGGGGCCGATCCATCCCCCCCGTGAGCCCATCCCGCCCTGACATCGGGACGCAGAAGGACGCACTGGTACGTCGTGCCAAGCGCCCCCTATGAAGGCGCACGCCGAACCGAACAAATGATGCAGCCACATGGTGGGCTCTCGTGCTCCACCACCACCACCACCACCAGAGGTAGGAGGAGGAGTCCTCCTCCTCCTCCTCCTCCTACTCCTCCTCATCCTCTTCGTCCTCCTCCTCCTCCTCCTCCTCCACCTCCTTCCCCCCTCCAACTCATGGTGGTGGTGGTGGAAAGCACACCCATGGCCATGTTCTCGAACATCGCTGCCCAGCCAGCATGGCGAGAGAGCGCCCGCCACCAAGCACGAGCTGGAAGTACAGGGCAGTTTTTAGAACATGGGATTATTTATAAACAAAAAACATATAGGGTTTCTAATACATGATTAATGTATGAATAGATTTGTGCATGACCTCATCGTTCTGTTTTAGTACTAAATCCGTGCATGTTTAATACTTGATCCGCACGCGGAGCATGTATTAAAAACGGCATTGTATGCAGAGAGCGCGTGCATCGCCCCTGTGGCGCCGACGCACGCGCACAGCAGAAGTATACGCTCGGGTCCTGCCGACCCGACGCTACCCAGTCGCGACCTTCCTCCTCTCGGGGGGAGCGAGAATAGGGGACCGAAAAGTGGCACAAACATAAAAACTCTGAGGTCCGCGCGGATTTCTTGGATCCGCGCTGGACCCCCCTCCCTGACGCGCGGAGCGCGCCAGGGGCGGCGCCGGATGCGCCGCCAGGGGGCCCCAACGCCGATCCGAGAAATCCGCGCGGATCTCCGAGTTTTTATGTTTATGTCATTGTCTGGTCCCCTAGAGAAAGGGGGGATACCAAAGGTCAGGGTAGAGAATCAGCTCACGGAGCTCATCTTCCCAGCGCCTCCCGGCGCCGGGAGGCGCCCATGTATCGAGGAGTGGGCCCGGCGGCGGGGCCGAAACCAGCTGCACGCAGCAGATTTCGTGACCCCCCCTTTCCCTATCCCCCCCTTTCGTTCGGCCCGACTCTCTGGAGGCCTCCTAAACGGGGTCCGAGTAGATGGGGTCGGAGGGTCGCGCCGCATCGACAATGCATCGCCGATGCATCGGCGACGTCGGCGGCGCATCGGCCTGGAAAAATCCTGGCTCAGCATCGGACCGAATCGCCGACGCGTCGGCGATGCCACGCGATCCTCCGACCGCATCTATGAAGGGGCCCTGGGACACACAAATAAATAGACACAAATCCGCCGATCCGGCGTGTGAGTTTCAAGGAGTCTCAGCTACAGCCTCGAGGCTGAGCCTCAGCCTCTGGGGGGGGTGCCGGGGTGGCTCTGCCAGGGAAGGGGGGGTGGGGGGTGGGGGGGTGCGAGTTTCCAGCGGATGCGTTTTTTGACACCCCTCACAAGGATCGTGGCCTCCGAGGGGGTTCCGAACTCGAGTACCACCCCTCCCGCACCAAGAGGCTCCGAGGAGGCCTCCAAGAGGCCCCAAGGGGCGCAGAAGAGGCCCCCAAGAAGCCCCAAGAGGATCCCAAGAGACCCCCAAGAGGCCCTCTAGTGGCCCCAAGAGGCCCAAGAGGCCCCGAAGAAGCCCCAAGAGGCGCCCAAGAGGCCCCCAGAAGTCCCAGCCAACCACGAGATCCCAACCAGCATCCATGAGGCCTCTGACCCACCACCCACGCACGGTGGCGGGATAGGCCGACGGCCACTGGATAAATGCTGAGTGAGAGGAGGGGAGGGAAAAAGAGAGGAGGGACGAGGGCGAAGAAGGATCACATCAGTCGGAGCGCCCCGGATCGGCGGCACTGGCCGAAGGCCACTACAATAAAAGGATTCCCCACGTTTTCCCATATGTTCTGGGTTTTCGTCTTCCCCCCACTTCCCATATTTTCCCATATTTCCCTGGGAATCGACGATTCATTGTGTCTGTGTATTGTTTTCCCTGCCTGAATCCACTCTGACCACATCTGGGAGGCACTTACAAAGTTTGTCGGGGGGGTGTTTCTCTGCGTTCTCTAAAAACTGGCACCCAGCAAGGTGGACGTCAGGCAAGCGGCAGTGAGTATTGGTTAGCCGATCCCCATCCCCAGCGGCGTGGCCTGGGCCCCACTGGCCGATTTGCCCCCCTAGACGGGGATATAGGTCTTTCCCCTCGGCTTTCGAGGGGTGTATCCCCAACTGGGGGGGTAATTTGGTGGGGGTCTCGAAGGGGATGGGGATGGGGATGGGGATCGGTTAAACGATGCCGAGGCATGACGATGCCCATGGTCGTGTTGCAAGCGCACTGGGGCCGTGCAGAACGCGAGCAAGTGTTTGGGCCACGGGCCGATCCGGCACCGGAAACCGTAACAACGACGGCGCCCATTATAAACGGAAAGAGAACGTCGATCCTGGAAACGGAGAAAAAAACACTCCCAAACAATCGGTGGCAACTCATGGGAGCCTTCCCATACCATCTTGTCAGCTGTTGCGTATCGACGCTGGTCGACGCTAAATCGACGCTCCTCGACGCTGAATCGACGCTGTTCGGCGCTTGGGCGACGCTAAATCGGCGCTATCTTATCGACTCCCAGACGCTCATCGACGCTTGTCGACGCTAGGGACGGAACTGCGATGGTACACAAGGATCCCATGACTTGCTACCGATGCTTGTATGGTCATCTAGGGGAGGGAGGGTGAGCAGGGACCGATCGTCCGAGCAATCCTATAGGGCTACCAAGAATTGTTTCTTAGAGCCCAGACATGTTCCTAAGAACAAAAACAATGTTCTTTGAACATAAGCACGATGTTCTAAAACAAGAGAGTGCCAGCCAGAAATGTTCTAAGAACATTTCGTGAAGACCAAAACAATTCTTAGAACATTCTTTGGTGGGCCTATAGGAAAGCCAGGACGCTTCACCACTGCTCGAAGGGGGGCCTATAGACTGTTCATTGCACCGGCCTTGCAAACGTGCTGCAGCGGAAAACTGCGTGGATTTCTGCATGGATGTTTGCCCAAAGCGGCGAGCGAAAGACGAAGCGAATTCGCGTGGATTCCTTTTGGCCTTCATTCCTGGCCCAACAAAAACCGCGCGAAATTCACCATCCGGAATGACATTCTCCAGGACCCTCTGGGCCCATCCTATCGTCTTCCGGGCGAAATCCGCTCTGCGATGCTGGCGCCATGAGACTTCCCCCCCC